GTAATGTTCGATCCTTTGGGAATATTCGAAGGCTGGTTCGATGAAAATTTACAGTTGGCTGATACATACGTTACTCTCCGTTACGTCGAGGATTCTTGGCTTCCTTGTAGAATTACCACTTCGCTCGTCTCGAGGAAACGAATAAATTATCAACATTTACGGAAATATAACACGTCTGCTACTAGCAATCGGATGGGCAAGCATTATTTTATGCACCTCCGAGGATCTGTCCGAAAGGTCGGCGACGCACGGTACTTATATTCTCTTCTCTATAGTTAACCCTTTCGCTGCTATGATCGTTCAGCAGATATATAATAGAAATTTTCATATACGTAAGTTAAAATAATTCTCGTTGCAAATAATATTCCCTTCCAAAGTAGGAGGTTCACCCTCCGGCGAATTAATTAGTTAAAATTTCATGGATGATCGATTCGTTTGATCGGATCATTCGAGCCGGATAGATTCATTTCATGGTTCTCCCTGAAGATCCTATCGGTTCCAATAGAAAATCGTAATTGAATATCGTTACCACGATTTAGGACAGTGATATTTTCTTCGAGGACGAGCCGATTGTTCCACGATGCTATTCAACGTTTCGCGGTTTTATCGAGATCCCTGGCATCGATTGGACGTTGTAATTGAGTATCGTTATTGTCGTTCGACTGGCGGGCAGTCCCTTCGAGAAGAGATCGATTCTCCGTTGATCGCATTCAACCCAGCCCATCGGCCACTGTTGCTGGAATTATCGTTTAAAAGGAGTTTGCAAATCAGTCACTTCGTATTCACTTTAGGCAAACAAAGAAGAAAATTTGCGGTTTTTGTACACGATAATGATTTTCACACGAAAACGATGGGAACTCGAGTTTCCAAGAAAGAAGCTGGAAGAAAGGAAGTACAGTTGAAAGAATCGAAACAATTACAACGTCCCCGATCGACGAACAAGAAGAAAGAAAAAAACAGTACACGGAAAACGATACAACAGCCATTCCGCATCGGGAGATCGGTTCGATGAATTCTAAAATAAAAAATACAAAAAAAGAGTAGAAAGAGAGGATGAAGAAAGTCTTAACAATCGATAGAGAAAAGAGAACGAGGAACGAAGATTGCTTCTGATGACCAGAAATGGCCACGCTGTGGCTTCTATTATACCAGCTTACCAGTCGATACAATTTCGATTTTACCACCCCCAACCCGTCAGCCCGTAAGACCAAGCTGGACTTTATTATTCCAGAAGGGGGGTGAAACGTTTGGTAAACGGTCCCGTAGGAAGGTTCGAATGGGAAATTTAGTCGGTGGGATGCGATTAAGGTCGATTCCTCGAGGTGCAGATGAAATTTAAAGCATCCTGTTTCGTCTGCAACCCCTTCGAGATCGACGATACGAATGCAAGGGAAGGTTTGCCTTCTGCATGCTCGTAGGGGATGAAAGCGAAGGGTGAGAAGTCGGCAGCCGATGCAGTTCCGAAAATCCTCGGAACGCATTTCTTCAATCTTGGATGGCGGACCATGGAGAGAGCCCCAAAACAGTGGACGCTGTCTCTTGGAAAATTATCCTAATTTTCTATAATAATTATGAAAAATTCTGATGAATCTATTATATTTTATTTCGTACAATGATGCTGTCATTTGTGTGAGACAAGCATGATGATTTCTGACCTAAGCTAAGATCACGGTATGCAACAAAGGGTTCGCCTAAAGGAAGCAGCGAACCATATAACCGAATGAAGCTCGGAAGATTTGTGTCAGACTGTCGTGATTTTCATCGAGACCCTTCTTCTTCGTGGTAAATGACGTGGAAAGAGGGGAGAAATTAAAGCCGCTCGTTAGGGTGAAACGCCGTTCGAACGATCGGACCCGTTCAACCAAAGAACGGCTTCGATATTCGAGATACAAAGAGAACGAAGAAAAGTGGATATCGTGTCCTCTCCTTGTCCCTTTTTCTTCATCCTGATTCCTGCTGGTCATATTAAATTGGATGAACTTGGAAACGTCGAAGGACAGATGGTTCAACTCCTTTTCTCGTCACCCTTCGCCAATTCCGAGATAATTAATTGAATCGAAGAGGAGAATTCTTTCGATTCTTTTAGTTTAAATTTTGATTATTTGTATAAAATTCGTATCGAAGTGGAGCAGTTTAGAGGATTCTGTCCCAACTTGCAACGTCGTCGTGAAAAAGGATAAGAAGGGTTATATTGTTCAAGATAAATTGTTCATCATCTAGATCTTTTTCAACTCAGCAGGTTTCTAGGATCAAGGGAAAATCATTTCACGTTATTGCTATCCAAGATCACGTTTATGATCCACTTTGATGTCCCTTAGAGATTTAGTGATCGATAATGTGTAAAATCAATTCCTATTTTCTAAACTTGTGATGTAAATTCTTATCGAAAATTCATAATAGATTTAATAGTCTTTCTTTTATATTCATATAACCAAGTTTGTAGATTATAGTCAGCTTCGACGAGATCATATAAAGGGTTAAAGACTGAGATATTCCAAAATATTCAAATTTTCAAGTTCCTCAAAGTGAATTTTTACTTCAGATTTCCATAATACTTTAAAACCACTCAATTTCTTTGAAATCTCCATAGAGATATCTGTCCAATAGAAGGATGCACAAATTCCATATCCCACGGTTAAGCGATCCATCTTGAGAGACCATAACCATCTCAGCCAGTGTCTTATCAAAAGGGCTATCTCGTGTCAATATTACCACAGAAGCTTCGATACTCCAGGAAGCCGAAATATTTCGCAGAAGACGTTCGTATGAAGTTTCAATCCATCATGGTGTCGTGGGTTTAGCGACCAGTTGAAAATTCCATAGGATCGATTTTTACGGAGTATGGTGTTCTTCTCTACCTTAGAAAAGGATAAACGTTCTATAGACAGATAAACTTTGAAAAAATTGTAATTCGAAGTTGAAGGGGCAACCAAGTTTTTCCTGTAGGATCTGTCGACCCTGGTTGATCCGCAAAGTGTTCCAGTTAGGCGGTCGTCGAGCAAATTGACAAGCGAGCCCAGCGTGTGCCAATTGTTTGCCCTGCAATTAATGCGAGTCGCACGAATTCTCGAACAAATAAGAGGAGAATCCCTTCGACCATGGGGAAACTCGGATCGCCTTGCAGCTCGGACGTGAAATTGGTTTGTCAACCGAGCAAACCCTTCGCGTGCCATCTCGAATACTGGATTTACTACCCTTAAGACGAGCAATCGATTTTGAAGAGAAATGAACAAGGCGAACTTTTATTTTGATATCGTAGAAAATTGAGAAATTTTAGGGGTTGAAAATTCAGGTCAGCAAGAGTCAGGCAGGAGGAGTTCATAGGGCTCTCTCCATGGTCCGCTATCCAGTTGTTAAGAAATTTCTTACCTTTTTTTAAGGAAAATAAAGTCAACTAAGAAATTTAGGTATAGTTTCCATGAGAAAAGACCTCAGAATTGACTAAAAATCTTACCAACCGAAGCAAGAAAAATTCCTCTTCAGGATTCAATCAATCTTTCAGCCAGCTCCTCGATTTCTCAAAAAATTCGGCACAGCCCGTTTGGTGGCCACCGATCCGTGTCGTAGGTACATCAAAGAGGGCAGATTCGAAATACGAGAATGGAATGGAGTAGTCTTGTCTGAAAAGAGAAAGTCCATAATCCATAGGTTCGTGGAAAGTAAATAATACAGAAGGTCCGTTGGTCTGTCGGTTCGCTGGACCGGATGTTAGCTAGGGGATGAAACCGTCCCTGTATATCCGGGGGAATATATGAAATTCAGCTCCTCGTTCTTGAGATTTTTGCGGAATTTCCTTCTCTTCTTTTGTCCAAGGTACTTTGTTGGATCGAAGGAAATCGATTGCTTCGAGACCAGGGAATTGTTTTTGTTATCGAAGCCTAGCGGTTTGCCGAAGAGTTCCCTCGATTTCCGGAGGAAATTTCTTCGTCACTGTTCGTCGATTTGCTTCTGCTATCGGAAGAATTGATTTCACTCCAGATATTAATTGATGTTTCTTTTCCCTCTGATCGTGTCAGACGAATTTTTTAATTTAAGAAAACTGTAATTATTTTGCTATTATGGTTTAACATAAACTTTATATAATTATTTCAAAAAATCCTGATGGTTCTGACAATTTATATGCGACCAAATTTAAAGAAAAATAAAATCAATTAAAATTGCACTGTTCAAATCTCGAACGGCGGACCATGGAGAGAGCCCCAGTTTTCATTTTCATTTCCCTACATTTTACACTGTTCCTTTAAAAATACATTTAATTTTATGTTAATATCTCTGTTTGGGTCACGATTGACCCTCTGCTCTGTTGAAGGGTTAAACATAGAACAGAATGTACCTAGCTAAACACCGTTGAAAATCCTTCCATAAATATTCCTCAAAGCAAACTCACCCTTCATCCTTCCGTTTCCATCAAGTCTTTCTTACGTAGACCCGGCTGGATCCTGTACCATGATCCTGCGGGACTCTTTGATCTGCCATTCTGTCTCTTCAGCGGATGACACGGACGAGCGAGGTTATGAATTATCTCGAAGCTGTATTTTCTTCGTTGAAAGGTCGAAAGCAAGCGGAATACCTTCCCGTTAAATTGTGTCGATAAATTGAGAGGAAGCTACTTGAGGGATAAGAATTCTTTTTTCCGTTTTCGCCAAGGGGTTGAAATCGGCGCGAGATAGAGCCTCTCTGTTTATCGTCGCTTCCTTTGAGGGATAACAGGCAGGAACCGAGAATTAGAGTTGGGATTCGCGTGATCCTGTTATCGTACTTCTCGTGGAATCGCGAGTTAAATGTGTTTACGGAGTTGGAAGGATTTTAATAATCCACCCTGGGATGTGCAACGCTGTTCTGGGGCTATGGGGATCCGTTTAACGCGGATCTCCGTTATCTGCTTCGAGAGCCTGTCATTTTCCAGTTAAATATCTTCCGTTGAATTGTACCTGATTTTTCGTAACTCATTTCCTCCCCAGAATTATTCTGTACTAATATTTTTATTCTCTTTGTTTCAGAGGGGTAGCGACGAGCTTTTGTCGCAAAGTGGAGCAGTTAGCAATGGTGCTGCAATGAGTCCACAACCACATCACGCGGCCGACAACAATAATGACGCCAAGAAGGTAAGTTCTGGAAAGAATTAATTGATAATTAATTTATTATAAAATTTCCAGCATCTTGAATTCATCGAACTCGAAACCAACCCCCTCGGTGTGATTCATAAAGTAATTAATGGCAGAGAAATTATTTTTATAACTTTCACGGTTTTTCTCTTTGTTCAAACAGTTTTCTAATTTTATCTTCAAACACCGGTTTAAATCCAATCAAAATTCGATAAATGAAATAGAGAAAAAATATCGGCGAATTCACAAACAATATTTGTCGTTAAATTCCGTCGTTTCGACAAATATTTGGTTGAAAAATAGTTAACAGTTTCGATTGGAGCGAGTTCCGTGTACCGAGCGGACACTGTGCCGAGAACAAATGCTTTTCAGTCAGCCGGGCAAAAACTATCGGTGCAGAATTTTGCAACGCGGACCGGCAGGAAATATTTATTATTGTCAGTGACGCGTGACGTTGCTGTTGGCCTCGTATATGGAGGAACGATGATGGAAAAAATGTCGGAAGTTTAGGGGAACGATAGATGCAGCCGTGTGTTCGTAAGCCACGAATGATGCACGTCTCTACCAGCGGCTGCACGTGCACCAGGTTGCATCGAAACTTGCATCCGCAGTCTCGTTAATCATTTCCTCTACGTGATGGGAGGAAAAACAGTAAAGTCCTGCGACATACACGCTTCGATTCTTGCCGTTTTCCTTTTTCTTTTCTGTCGTCTTTCTATTGTGCAATCTATCATAGGGAAAAAATAGAGGAAAGAAAAGTGGTTTGAATTTAAACCGTCCCACAATTCTGCTATTTATTATTTATTGCAGTATTGAAAAAATTAATTCTGTTTATTCTACCTTGAAATCTTTGAGGCTACAACTGATCCACGAAAGGGATCGTCGTTCCGGTCGTTTAGAAAGTAGTCCACGCGTGCATTTGCAAATTTTCGCGTGCAACATTGCGTGTTTTAAAAAAAAAAACAAAAAAAAAAACAGTACACTGACGGATCGTTAATGCGGCCACGGAAAGAAACAGAGAACAACGAGGGATTCGGTGACAAAGCCAGCTCCGCGTTCTCGGCTTTTACTTTGAAAACGAACACGCTCTACTTTTCGACGGTCTCGAAAAAAAAAAAAGGGCGAAATTGTTAGCGGCCTATGGAGCTTGAAACTGGAGGCGCTTCTCTGCAAATTTCACGAAAAATCAATCGCGAAACTAGAAGATTTTTCTTAGCATTTTATAACTCTGAGTTCCTTTCAGGAACGATTTTTAGGGCGAATAAAAGCGAGAGATGGAAACATCCCCTTGAAGCGAGCTTCCCTTGAGAATGACCGGACGATCAGACGAAGGGAAGAAAAAGAAAAATAATGTTCAGTAATTGATTCTGGTGTAACACCTTTAACGAGACCTTAACGTTCGCCCTTCTTTTCATTGACGCTCCAAAGGGGGTTGAAGGGAACGCACCTCCCAAGAATAAGTGGCGCAACACGGTCACCATTCGTGGATAATGGGACGGAACGAGGCAGTAAATGGCAAGTCAGAAAGAAACTGGGACAATGGAGATTCTCTCCAACTAATACGGCAAAGTGTCGAACGACACTTGCGATATTAGGGGTAGTTTTCACGTCCCTTTTCCAAGTAATTCGAAACCCTTCTCTTTCGAAAGCAATTTTTCTTAAACAGTGTCAGTGGAAAGTCTTGGGCATCGTTTTATTTAAAATTACAATCTGTGATTTATAAAATTTCAGCATCACAATTAAAATATTTTGTAAAGTAATTCTGTGGGGGTTACGAGCAGAGCAGGGCGCCCAGGCGCCTTGGGCCTTTCCTGCGACGGCCGCAAGGTGTCGCGCGTGTAGCTCCATCCTTTCTCGCAAGTGCTCCATCACGGGCCTTGGCAATATATATACAAGATTCGTGAATATAGAACCCAGGCGCCTGGGGCCAGGGCCGTCCAGGTCAGCCCCACTGGGGATGGTTCCCGAGACAAAAAATAATTTCTCCGCCGTCATCCTACAATTTAAATTAAGAATCGCTAGACCCCTAAGTATCTAATGTTGAATAGATAATGGAGATTAGTGTCGAATTCAATTTCCTCGCGGATAAAGGATCACAAAGAGCGCCGCGACCCCCCCCCCCACAATAATTATGTGTTCGAGAAGGAAGGACGTAAGCAGATTACACGTAGCCGATGAATTCAACGGTTCGATTCAGGTTGATCAGAAGCCACGAACGGCTTCCGATTTCCGCAAGATCGGTACACGAGCCATCCCTCCTTTCACGGCTGCCGTTTCAGCCATTTTCTCGATTAAAGACGACGGAAACCCGTCGCGGGACACTCTGTTTCTTTCCCCGCCGTTTCCGCTCTCGATCGACCAACCTAATTTCAAGATTACTTCGAAAGGGAACGCCTTATCTTGTGCTTTAAGCCTGATTTTCATCTTAGCTCGACAGAAGTATCCATGTGTTTCTATGATTCTTATTTTCCGATTAATCTTTCGTTTTATTCAAGTATTTCCATTTTCGTTCACTGTTATTCGGCTAAACAGTCGGATTTATTATTCCGCACAAGCGAACCATCGTTTTAACCGAGAGTTCCTGCCGTCCAATTGTTTCGCCGGATGTCGGAATTTCATATTAGAAAATGCACGAGAGAGACCAATCACCTATGGAGATTTCTAAAAGCTGACCGGAAACTTCTGCCCGGCATGTCTGACATATTTCGTTCTGGAATGTTTCTCTGCGAATGCACTGGAACGTTCGCTACGATTTTCGGATGCCAGCAGTCTGCCGTGTGGATAATCTCGATTCCCCGATTTTACGTTTCACAGATCTTTCCATTTACCTCTCAGCTTGATAAAGTTAATTAATCAGCGACATCGTTTGGACGAATCACGAGATAGCGTTTCAAATAGTGTTTCGGTCTGTCGTTGATTAAATTATTTATCAGTGAATCGCACATTTTCTTTTTGGTTTAAATATTTGACAATAAAAATGATTTTCAATATTTTCGGCCTCGAGGCGGCTATTGATGAAAATACCAGGTGTCACGAGATATTGGTGAAAACTAAACCTAACCCAGGTCTAAATGGACGTGGTTGAAATGCCAACACGAATCAGGTTGTTACCGAATTAAGCGAGACTGATGTTCGAAAAATAGACGACCCGTGTTCCTTTAATAAAACAGGGAGAAAATTGATTCATAACCGTTCAGAAATATAAAATTTCAATTTTCCTTGTTTTGGTGAAACCTTTGTATGCGAGGAAATATTCAGAAAAAAAAGAAGAAAAAACATTTTCAAATATAAAAAATTCGATTATTTTATCCGGGTTTAAATAAACTTTCGTAAATCACCCAATTAAGATGCTACGATGCCCGCATTGTTATCAGCTCGAGCGAACCATCGATTACCCATCGGCGGATCAAAGAATCAGGAACACCATGGGAAAAGAGGAAAAAACAACTCCGCACTCTTTTTCCATGGGGACATAACGAGAGGACGAACGTCCAGTCGGAACCGAAAAGGCAGACGCAGGTGGAAGCAATTTATCTAAACGGCAGCTTTGTGAGGGCACTCGAATCGAAAGCAGAGTCCATCCGGAATATTACTGGCCGCCGGCAGAGCCGTACCATTACCTTTTCTACGCTTTGATTCTTTTGTACGTGGGCCAGCACCAAGAGATTTCGACCCGTTGCTACCGCGCGATTATGTGGGCGTACTCGCCATATTGCGGCCAGGCAAATAAAAAGAACAGAAGAGAGTGAACGTACTTAGCGATCCATGGTCGGGCAAGAGAAACGATTTTCCGCTCGAAACGTCTGATCGATGGACATGGGATTCTTAGGATCGACTTGTAAGCTTCATAGTGTAAGAGAGAGAGACGTCTTTTGACGGGGCAGTCCATGAACGTTTATTCAGGCGTTAGGGATAGCGAGCATAGACGACCAGGTCTACAGATATGTAGAGTTTTCGCTGTTTCCTGAAAATAGGTGTGATTCTTTGTTAAAATTGTTAATAGTCTTCTATGAATGCTATGGCATTGCCCTCATATCACGTTTGCACAGAAAAGACCATAGGGCGCAATCGGTCCTAAGGCACAATCAGATGCTACCTTTGGGGAAGCATTTAGGCATGGAATCTTGGAGTGCCCTGTGTTACTCTTTGTTAGTACTGTAAAAACTCTTCTATATCTGTTGTGGCTTCGTCTCCACATAGCGTATACACGAAAAAGACCATTGGGAACTATAGGTGCTAAGGCTTACTGCAGGACCAGGTCTATAGACATGTAGATTTTTCACTGTTTCCTGAAAATATGTATGATTCTTTGTTAAAATTGTTAATAGTCTTCTATGAATGCTATGGCATTGCCCTCATATCACGTTTGCACAGAAAAGACCATAGGGCGCAATAGGTCCTAAGGCACAATCAGATGCTACCTTTGGGGAAGCATTTAGGCATGGAATCTTGGAGTGCCCTGTGTGACTCTTTGTTAGTATTGTAGAAACTCTTCTATACCTGTTGTGGCTTCGTCCCCACATAGCGTTTACACGAAAAAGACCATTGGGAACTATAGGTGCTAAGGCTTACTGCAGGACCAGGTTTATAGACATGTAGATTTTTCACTGTTTCCTGAAAATAAGTGTGATTCTTTGTTAAAATTGTTAATAGTCTTCTATGAATGCTATGGCATTGCCCTCATATCACGTTTGCACAGAAAAGACCATAGGGCGCAATAGGTCCTAAGGCACAATCAGATGCTACCTTTGGGGAAGCATTTAGGCATGGAATCTTGGAGTGCCCTGTGTGACTCTTTGTTAGTATTGTAGAAACTCTTCTATACCTGTTGTGGCTTCGTCCCCACATAGCGTTTACACGAAAAAGACCATTGGGAACTATAGGTGCTAAGGCTTACTGCAGGACCAGGTTTATAGACATGTAGATTTTTCACTGTTTCCTGAAAATAAGTGTGATTCTTTGTTAAAATTATTAATAGTCTTCTATGAATGCTATGGCAT